GCCCGATCCGGGGGTGTTGTTACCGGAGGGGGGACGGGGTGGCACGGGGAGGGGGGGGGTGTCAACTGTTCCCGTTTCTCTGTTCCCATTTCAGGGGGACCCCGGTGAATCGGGAGCCCCGGGAATCCAAGGGGAGCCAGGAGTCAAGGTGAGTGACAGCAGGGACACCCCCCCATCTGTCCCCGTCCCCCGGCTGCTCCTGCCGGCTGGCGACCCCATCTTGCACCCTCAGGCCTCGGGGAGGGCGGGGGGAGACGGGGCAGCCCGGGGCTGCCGGTGCCGCCGGGCCGCCTGGAGGGAAAGGGCCCCCCGGCGATGACGGGCCCAAGGGCAACCCTGTGAGTGCCGTGTCCCCCCCGGGATGCAGGGGACACGGGGAGGAGGCAGGGTGGGTTCGCTCCGGGAAGGCGTGGGGACCCCGTGGGGCGGAGGTCCGGGGTCCCCTCAGGCTAGCAGCTCTCTCTGTTTCAGGGTCCCGTTGGCTTTCCAGGCGATCCCGGACCCCCAGGTGAAATGGGTCCCAGGGTGAGTGTCGCATCCCACCCCCTCCACGCTTCTCCCACGACTGGAGGGGTCTTCCCCGGGAATGGGGTTAGGGATTCCGGGGGTGTGCGGGGCCTTGTGCTGACTCCAGGTTTTCCCTTCCCGACAGGGCCAGGATGGCACCAAGGGCGAGCGTGGGGAGGACGGCGAGCCCGGGGAGCCGGTGAGTGCCCCGTTCCGGCACGTTCCCCCCTCACCGTCGCTCTGGGCAGGGATCCCCCCCGCGAGGTTTGGGACTGGATCGACCCCACTGCTTCGGGAACGTCGGGGAGTGGGGAGCCCAGCCTGTCCTCTCTTCCACGGCCATCGGATCTGGTCCCCCCGGTCCTGGGATGCTCCCATCCCTCCCAGTGCTCCTCACGTGGCATGGGATCCTCCTCCCCACCTTCCTCTCTGTCCCATTTCTGGGACAAGGCCAGCTCGCTTGACTCCTTTCTCTTCTCCTTCCTTAGGGCTCGCCAGGTCCAACAGGCGAGAACGGTCCTCCCGGTCCCCTGGGGAAGAGGGTAAGTGCTGGGTGAGCCTGGCTCTGGCTATGACACGTGCCGTGCCACCCGCCTGGATGTCCCTGTCCCTCACCGCCCTGTTTCTCCTCTCCGCAGGGCCCAGCCGGCTCCCCCGGCCCCGAGGGGCGTCAGGGTGAGAAAGGCATGAAGGTGAGCGATTCGGTGACCCCCCCCCCCACACGGGGGCCCAGGGTTGCC